CCCCCCCATAGTGTTTAGTTTAATTAAAATGTAACTGCTTATTATTTTATGTTTACGTTTTACTAGCTTGTCTCATTTCTTTTTTTTTTTTTAATTTAATATTGCAGGGTAATGACCTAGTTCCTCTTTCTGTACGTCCTATAGAGAAAATTGCTGATTCTGCTTAGTGCTTTACAGCTGTGCATTTGTAGCTCCAAATGCTTCTGCCGAATGGCCAGTCCATTTAAAATTCAATGCACAGTACTGACATTGCAACTTGTTCAAAATGTTCAGCAGTTTTGCAAAATGAAATCAGCAAACTTGAGATGGATATTCTCCAAACAGATATTCTGTATGTAGTTTGAGCTTATAAGATGACCCAGTTATTTGGATCAGTTAGTGCTTTTTATGGCTATAGAGTGGGGAAAATGATTTTTTTGGCATGCTTTTCCTATAATAAATCGTATCTTATACTGTGTAATGTTTTCTCAATTTCAGTACTACCAGTTCTACAGCCAGTAGCTGTGACACAGAGCTTACAAAAGAGGACGAGCAGAGGTTGAAGGATTATATTCAGCAGCTAAAGAACGACCGGGCTGCAGTTAAACTCACCATGCTGGAATTAGAGAGCATACATATTGATCCTTTAAGCTATGATGTCAAGCCAAGGGGAGACAACCAGAGACTAGATCTGGAGAATGCTGTCCTGATGCAAGAACTTATGGCAATGAAGGTATTTGTCAAGATAGGAAAAAACAATATGGAAAATGATTCCAAATTTTTTACGCCACTTAGCTCCCAGGCAATTTGTTCTCCAAGCCCTGTGTGAAAAATAAATCTTTACATAGCAGCTAATTGGCATCCAAAATATTTTTTGTAAAGTGCACCTGTGCCCAGATGATGGGCATGACAATATTCTTAACAGCAGCAAAAGAACCTTAAAATGAGTCACTACTGACCTTTCTAGCTGCTTTCACTTTGAAGAAATGAATTCTCAAATATCACAACAAAGACTCTAAAGTCCAGGTTTATGTATGTATCAAGTGCAATGCTGCTATGTTCTATGTTCTGATATCATTCCACGTGACCTTCCTTTTTTATGGTTCTGGATTGTGTATATATATATATATATGTGTGTGTGTGTGTGTGTGTGTGTGTGTGTGTGTGTGTGTGTGT